TACTTTGATGAACTGTGATGATAGTCAAAATTTCTAAATTGAAAATTCAAGAAGAATTATTGATGAACAAGGTTGATCTGTTTTTCAATGAATTGTTGGTCAATACAGCAAACTTTAACAAGACATCAAAATGTTCAAGATAATTCACTAAAATGACTTGGTGGACTTTCTGGAAAGACATTCTGTTGACTATATAATTATTATTACAGGTATTACATTGAAATGTGTTTGAGAAAACTATAGTTAAGATGAATAAAATCATGAAGCATGAATATGTAGTGTTTTAATGAATTATAAGGTTAAAAGAAACTATTTATAATATAGCTCAATTTTTAATTGAAGAATAATTGATTTCATCAATAGTGTAGATATTTGGGGGAATTGTGTCAATATCCTATTTGTGAATTTTCATATTTGTCTAGTAGTTAAGAACAAAGTAAATATTTTTGACATAAATTCCCAGTAGTCATATTGCAGAGCAAGACTGACATTGAAATATTTTCTGGAGTTACTATGTTCAGTATACATTTTTAGATATTAGAGTTGAATCATAATAGTTTAAATCCTTGCAGATCAGAGAGCTTACAAGAATCTGATGCAAATTTTTTAAACAGGATTTGCACAAATAGGTAAAGTGGAGGGAATCAGTGATATGCATTGATGGTGTTGTCCTTGTAAGTAAAAGGGTATCAAAGGAGAAAAGTACCTACACTCAATATAATATAATATGCCTGTTTTGTGTGGAAATGATTGAGGAATTGATATGATTAATTGCTTATGCATGGCAGGGATATCAGATATTTGCTAGGTCAATTTCTCTTAAAGATTTCAATATTTCTGAGAGCTGTTGCCTTCTATAGGTTGAATATGTTCTAACTTTAGTGTGATTTTCTCTCAGATTTTTGAGACTGGCAAGAGGAACATTAGATGGTGTAGGTTTCATCCATTCTGCCTGCAAATGAGTACTTGACTTGGCAGTTCTGCAGTTGTGAATACATGTTAAGCTATAGAGACAAGCAACAACATGACTATACAAACTTCTGACAGCCCAGCCATGCAGGTGTGATGGGCTCTGTATTTATTCCTTGATCACTTTTACACAATACCCAGACTTCTAGTGAGGGTAAAATCATTATTTGAAAATGTTTCACCTACAAAAATATCAAATATTTAACAGGTACTATCCAATTATCCACTCATAGTAATGACTGCCTAGAACAACAAACATATGCCACTGATTTTCTTCACTCCTCATAGGTATTTGTACAAAACATGCCTCAGAAAATGTATACCCACTCAAACTTTCATGAGCTTTCGTTTGCTCTGCAGCATAAAAACTAGGTGTTTAACAATTATATCATGTCAAGATATCTATTGAAGTGACTCCAGGAAACATCGGAGCCTGGGTTTCCATTATTCTGCAGAGAAAAGGGATCAATAGAATCGATGACTTTGATTTTCTCTTTGTATCGCTCTATATTATGACCACCAGAAATTTCTGATTTCAATAAATATTCACTTTATTCATTATAAATTCAAAACAAAATCAATGACAATCATAACCTTAAAACTCGCAATTTAGAGGAAGAGGAAGTAAATTTTTGACGTTTGAAGTACGGGCGGAAACGGGGCAGGTACAGCGGCCATTTTTAGGTCACGGGTTCTGGAATGCCTAATAATAAACTGATTTTCTGCTAAAAAATTCAGGTGATAAACTATGAGGAACTGGACGGCATTTTTCTGACTCGATTTGAACGCTGTCTGCTTCGAAAATGCGACAGCATCGACCGGCAGACGCTTAAGTTCTAGATTCACTACAAAACCCCAATCAGTTTGGCGGTATTTTTATGATTTTTTTATGTTCTGGTTTCCCACGAAAAGGGACATCCTGTAATGTTCAGAAAACATCGTGAGAACCAAGAGAAATGAGGTAGGAATTTGTGTTCTCCTTAAATTTCTGGAGGTTATATGCCTCGGGGAACACCTCCCATGGCAATGTGTTCCAGAGCCTCGCTGTTCGTTGGATGAACGAGTCTTTTTAAAGAGATGTTCTGTAGGTCTCTAAAGTGATCACGAAGGGGTGCGAAGCCTCAACTCGACGGGTTAATCTCACGGGGACTGCCAAGGGAGGAACAGTTGTTGATATTTCAGAAGAGCATCGTCAATGAAAATATCTATAAAATAGAGCCAGATCGCCAACTTTTCTACGGTGTTCCAGAGAAGTGAGTGAGTTTGTGAGCGAGGCATCACCCACGAGACGAATTATTGCATTTTTGGACAGAATCCAATAGTTTTTGGGATGCACTTTAAGCAATTGATCTCACGTGATTTTCCCAAGAAAGGTTATTGCTGATAGCAATACCAAGCATCGAAATGGATGTCTTCAAAGGTATGGTTACTCCTGACAAGCTTATGTTGGGCACAGTGAGATCGGCTTTTCTAGAGAAAAGGCACACTTGTGTTTTGTTTGCATTGAAATCTACCGAGTTATTGGATCCCCATTCGGAATAGTCCATATTTATGTTGTCACATTTCTCCCTCGTTCGTTTCTGATTTGCCTGGCTGGTATTGGAGCCCTGGAAGAGAAGGCGGTATGGAGGGTACTATCATCCGCGAAGCAGTGTACTGAACATGAAGTTGCTTCCAATAAATCGTTGATATGGAGTAGAAATAGTGTTGGTGCTAGAATTGATCCTTGCGGAACACCAGCATTTATGATAAGAGAGTCAGATGAAACTCCGTCGACCACTACATGGAGAGACGTGTTTGAGAGAAAACTAGCTAGCAGAGAACATAGCTGGGGAGGCAAGCCATAAGATGGAAGCTTGACGAGGAGTTCGTGGTGCCAGACTCGATCGAATGCCTTGTAGATATCAAGTGCCACGGCTAAGGTTTTACTATATTTTTCAATAGATTGCTGCCATATATGTGAGACGTAAGCGAGCAGGTCACCAGTTGATCTCTGATGACGGAAGCCATATTGCCTATCGTTGATAATCCCTGAATGTTCCAGGTATTTCATGAGCTCGATGTTGATAGCTTTCTCCATGATCTTTGAAATAATAGATAGCAGTGCGATCGGCCTGTAGTTGCTAGGAAGGGTCTTTTTGCCTTTTTGAGGAACTGGTTGTACTCTTGCAATTTTCCAGTTGGACGGGAATATCCCAAATTTTTAAGAATAGTTGAACAATTTGCAGAGAACAGGTGTCAGTTCGGGAGCACATTTCTTGAGGACATGGGATTCCGTCGGAGCCACAAACACCACCAATAAAATCTTCCATATGGTACGTTGGCGGAAGGTGATCTCGGGCATATGAACGTCAATTGGCGTTATGTTTGGAGGTTGTTTTCCCGATGAATCCAGAGTGGAATTTCCAGCAAATAAATGCGCAAAAATATTGGCTTTCTCCTGGGCAGTTGTGGCTAGTGTTCCATCTTCCTTGGTTAGAGGAGGAAACGAGCTGGAAGTGAAGTTTCTTCCTACAGCTTTGGCGAAGGACCAAAATGAACGGGATCCGCTAGGATATTCAACAAGTTTTGATCTAATTTTGGCATTATAAGTATCCTATGATGATCGAATTGTCTCATTGCATATGCCTCTAGCCTCGACATATTCTGCTCAGGGCCTGGATTTTTCTGTCATCGATGGAATGCTGCCTGTTTGGAAGCGACAGCTCTAGAGCAGTTTCTACTGAACCAGGCCTTATCGGAAGATGTTCTCCTTGCAGTGTTCGGTATGTAGGTTTGCATTCCCAACATGATGATTTCAGAAATTGCCTCAGCACATTGTGTTGGATCTGCTGAGGAGAAACAAACTCTCTTCCATGGAAACACTGAAAAAACATACGAATTATAATGCCACATGAGACGAGTAGGAATTGTAGTGCTGGATGGTACATGGAAAGAGCAGGTTGGTAATAATGAGGCCCTTCTAGGTCGATTCTGGCACTTTTTCGAAATTCGTAGAGTTTTAAGCGACCACACTTGGTCGGCAGACGTACGGTTTCCATTTCAATGCAGAATGAATAACTATCCTGCAATGTCACTTTTGTGGTAACTTATGAGGCGCTATATTTCACTCCTGGATCTTGGTCTATTACGGAAAATGTTTATGCTTGTTCGCCCATCAGCTGTTCAATTGCCGACAACTTAACAGCATATAACATCACTGACAACTTTCTATTGACAACGTGATTTCTCGAGAATCACCAATGCACCAACAAGATGGTTATCAGCGTGCTTGAGAGTTTTTACTACTTCGTGCGAGGCTCTGCATAAATAGAAGTGGCGCTCATTTTTAACATTTTTGTGTGAACATTCTGGTTATGAAATGAAATGACTCTATTCAGTGTCTCTATTCTATAATAATTTGAAACCTGGCAATTATGCGGGAGTGAGAAGTCTGACGCAGCCGGTCTCAGCGTTGCTGCATCAAATCAGTGTATCTCAAACCATGGTCAGTAAAATCACACAATTATCGAAACTTTTGGATTGCCTCAAAAACAATTTGTCTACCATTTATTGTGTTATTATGACTCGTACAACCCCAATTGTGTTTCGACATATTTAAAAAGAGATGATCTTTCTTAACAAATTTCGAGGAGTAAAAATGTACCGTAAAGCGAATGTGTTAAAAAATTCAGGTGTCATCAAAAATTCGCAATCCTCACGAGTGAAACAAGTTGTCTTTGGAAACAAATAGCAATCTTCCAAGAAATGTTTTAAAAGTTTGGTTTTTCTGTAATGAGTTGTATAAAATTATTCCATTATGGAATACACGATCAAAATCAATGTTCGACAAGTAATTCAATTGTCTAGTTTCATAACAATGGACTCTTGGCTTCATTAAAAGTTGAGGATGATTTTTTATTTTCATCAAATTTAGTAAAAACTTGTTCCAAAGACATGTGGCTGTAAATATAAATAGAACAGAAAAACGTCTGCAAGATTGGTAGAATGAAACACGTAAGTTTTGCTTGTTAACAAATTATTCTTTTCAGGCCTTATAATGTGCCACCAAGACCGATGTTTGATGCTAGTAGACCTCCAATGAGTGGTCCACCACCCAACTTCAATTCAAACTTTCCCCCTGGATCTAGAGGTCATAGAGATTTCCGAAGAATGATGGATAGACCACCATCTGGGTGAGTGAAAAATCTTTTTTTTTTCTTTTACTGAATACGATTTCATGTCACGGTTGGTTAGAAAATGAACAAATATTATTATCCATACGCTTTTTTTTACCACTACTACTGTAAGTGGTCAATATTGTACAACTCGAGCGTAAACATTTCCTTATGTGTATTGTTTATAGGTGGTTTCAAAATTATTTGAGTGAAAGAAACCACTTATTTGGTGAAAGTAAGTAGAACCAAAAAAATATTATGTGGGGTACACCTCAAGGATCGATATTACGCTCAGTTTTATTTATTGTAAAGCAATTACGCAATTACGCACTTTCCATTCGTGCATAATATGCTTCTTACAGCACATATTACGTAATATACCATTGTCCGACTATGGAGCTAGCGGCGTCAAGATGAAATGAGTTATATTGTCTAGTTTCATGATCATGAATTTCAGAATTCCGTATCGAAATAATATTCGACTTCAATTTTTTATTTATTTATTTATTTACTTTACTTTACTTAGTTTACAGAATGAATATAATTACAAACTAAGATATATATGACATAACGAAAGTAGCATGCATAGTGTTATATGAGTATGTAAGTTTACTACTGCTGGATACAAAAGAAGAACGATCTAATTTGCGGAATCGATGTATGATGTATGTCGATTTTTGTACAGTGGTCATTATAATTCCTACAGATCCTTTGTGATGGAGAATTTTTACAAACATTTGTGCGTGGGATAGGCAAGTAAAAGGTTTGATCTGTTCGGGACGCAATTCTTGGAACGTGAAACTGGAGTTTATATGTCAAATAATGGTAGTCGCATAGGTTATTGATTGTTTTGAAAAGAATAACATCAGAATGATACTCTCTTCGAGTTTTCAGACTGTTGAATGAATGTCTCTCAAGTAAAGTTCTGTGTGAAATGCCAATTTCAGGATATTCGCCATCTATTCTGAAAGACAGTAATTTTAAAAAAGGCCACTGAATTGATTCGAGGCTGTCGATATGAGTAATATTATGAGGACTCCAAATTATCGAGGCATATTCCAGCTTCGATCGAACAAATGCATAATACAGGCTCTTGAGAGTCGCGATGTCTTTAAAATCTCTAGAATACCGAACAATACAGCCATAAGATTTGCTGGCAGCTGACAAAATTCGTTCCATATGAGGTACAAATGAGAGTTTTGGATCAAATACCACCCCCAGATCTTTGAACGTTTCTGCTCTCTGTATGTCAGAATTATCAATAGTGTAGCTGAACTCAATCTGAGATTTTAAAGCAAAGGACATTATACAACATTTCCCGGGATTAAGAAATAGCTTATTGGAAATACACCATTCATTGATTTTATCTAAATTATCTTGTAATAACTGACAATCAGCAGTATCTGAAATTCTGTGGAATATGTTCATATCGTCAGCATACATCAAACCATTAACATTAATACCATCCAGAATGTCATTGATGAATATGTTGAATAGCAAGATTTGACCCTTGAGGTACGCCAGATGTAGCATGATATTCAACTGACCTATGACCACGGCACTCAATATATTACTTTCTTGATGACAGATGAGAGGAGAAACCAATTTTGTACAGTTTATTCATTAAAATACCGTGATCAAGTCTGTCGAATGCCTTGGAGAAATCTGTATAAATTACGTCTGTTTGAAAATGTTTATCCAGGTCCTCTGCTATATGCTAAGTGATATGTAATAAATTAGACGTTGTAGAGCGACCTTTCATAAAACCATGTTGATGAATAAAAAGGCTTTTCTCAACTTGAAAGTAGATATTTTTTTGTAATAGGATTTCAAATACCTTACAGAAGTTACAGATAATAGAGATAGGTCTGAAATTAGTAACATCAAGTCGATTATCTTTTTTTGTATATAGGACAGACTTTAGAAATCTTCCGACTAGAAGGAATAGTTTCAGTTCTCAAACAAATATTTATTAATGTTGTTAAAGGAGCAGCAAGTACCGTGGCACAATCTTTAACTAAAAATGCTGGGATATGATCGGGACCGGTAGTCATACAGTAGAAATTGGTTTCCAAAGAAATCAGCAAAAGCATTTACTATATCTGTTGGTGTGTCGAGACTAGTTCCGTTATATACCATATTATCGCTGACGTTGGTTGTACTTCTTTTGCTATTAATGAATGCCCAAAATTTATTAGGATTATTTTTCAATTTCGTGTTCAATTGACTGGATATAAGTTTTATATGATTTATCTATGTCTAGTTTGACTTTAGTTCTGAGACGTTTAAATTCAGTATGGGCTGTTGTATCAATGTTCTGTTTATATTTATTCAAACATTTTGATTTTCTTCTAATGTCTCTTATTATTTCCCCAGTGAACCAAGGAGGTTATTATTTTCTTTTACGGACATTAGTGAATTTTGGTACACACTTATCAAAAATCTTGAAATGCTTTCAAGAAAGTCCAATTAATAGTAGAAATCATTTGATATAGATGTTGTAGATTTGCTTTACGAAAGTTGTAACAGTTTCTGTAGTTGTTCACCAAAGGAAATGGTGATTTCACATTGAATTTTAATTTAACAGATATTAAGAGCGATGGATGGTGAATGTCCTCTTTGAGTAAAGGTCAGGTTAGGAACAGTCACTATTGGATAATACTAGGTCAAGAATATGATTATTAGTGTTCACGATGAAGTTAAATTGTTGCATGTGGAACATAAGAGAGAAGTTGTTTAAAATTGTAGTTTGACGATTTCCTTGATTAGTCTTCAGATATTGAAATCACCTAAGATAATGACATTACTAGTGCTAAGACACTCTAGCGATTCGAGAGCAAGAAATAGACCTTCAAAGTGCACAAGAGATACATTGATCACAAAAAAAAGACCCTGAGTCGCACGATACTTGGACGGCAACTATATCAATACTAGCTGTTAGATCTCGGAAGGTTCTTGTATTTAGATCAACAGCAGATGATTTATAATTATTGTGGACTCCAACAAGGACGCCACTACCCCTTGTGCAATTAGTAGCAGACATATTACGATCTGATCTATAAACGAAAAATGAGTGAAAATATTTCATTGTTTGATATTGATATATCTAACCAAATACAATAGCATTCAAATACCATCTTAAAAAATTTATCATTTCTGAACGAAATAGATGACTTTTTTTTTCTCTCTCAAGTTTTGATTCATATTCAAATTGATTTTTGCTCAACAATATAAAATGATTTGTCAAAATTTAATAATTAATGTTTTCAAATATTATATTATTCATTAGTTTATTATAATTGTATAGTTTTAGGTATTATTGTTAACTATACTTCCATATACCAGAACTTGATTCTGACTGGAAGTAAAATTTTCAATAAATAAATAACCATGTTTCTGTGAGAGCAATGACCGAAATGTTTGATTGATATATAGAATTTAGGATGTCAGTTGTTTTTGTCCTCAAACCTCTGACATTCTGATAGTATATAGAGAAATAGTGCAAAACAGAGTTATTTACTTGAGAGACACCAATTGACACACCAGTCCTTATTTGCTATTGCGATCCGTGCAAATCTCTCCGCAAACTATCACAATCTTTTTTATAAACTGAGCATTTTTCTTTTTCCCAGACCATATGATTTGTAGCAATACTGGGATCATTTAATTTGAGACAATTTGAGCAGGTATGCTCTATAGATTTACAGTCTTTTAAGTCGTGACTACCGCCACACAGAGGGCACGACAGAGCATTATGGCATGTACTGGAAGAGTGATTATGATATTATATGAAATTTTAAGAGTTTCAACTCTATGAATTTCATCTAAAGAATACGAATTTGTTATTTCATACGATTGATTGGTTGGTGTATCAAATGGGAGACGATACAGTACTTTTAACGATTTTCTATATAATGTTGATATGTTATTCAAATTATTTTTTGAACAAGATTCCTGAACATTCATTAAATAGTTGATACAACTCAGTATATGAGTGTAGAGAATCATGTTTGCAACTTTAATATCAAGTTTGGGACATCTTCTCAATGCACCAATAATTGGAGATATTTTCTTTGTCAAAACATCAATATGTTTCATCAAGTAATCAGTTGCATATGATTTCATTTATTTCTTTTCAATCAATTGTTTCAGTTGGTGTTGCATGTTTCATGAACTGGAATATTTCTTCTTTCAAGAAAATGTTTGCCTTTTTTGGCCTAAATCCAATGTTTTGTTTTTTCATATATGCCGTGACCTTAAAAAACTTGCTCGAATCGAGTTTTTTTTTTAGTTCGATTCAACATTGAGTACCTGGACCAAAGAGTGTTTGGCTTGCATATTTTGGAAATTTCAGCGAAATAGGTCAAAAAAACGTCTTCTTTGAAACCTTTGATTCTCTTATTCTGGCACCAGTTTTCAAACAAATTATATTCCATTTCATACCTGTGACGGGATTTTGATGGTAGTAGATCCAAATTTTCAGTTCTAGCCGCTTCCAAAACTGTTTTTTTTTTTCCGCACTCAGTGCGGTAAAGTGACTTTCAACACTGAAATGCTAGTAGAAAAATAATTAAAATCAAAGTGGATTATTTCAAAAAGTCCGAGTCAATTCAGAAAGTCAAGAGTTTTTTTTACTTTCATATAAAAGTCATGACTTATTCCAACCCTGGAATAGAACGCAACTATAATCTTGGATTCCTCCTTCCAGGGTCATCGACGACCCTTTGGCCGCCTTCAATCGCCTCCTGCGCGAGAAAGACGAGCAGAAGCGTCGCGCCAAGCGCGGCTACCGGCGCGCCAGTTACAGCCGCAGTCGCAGCCGGAGCCGCAGCTACAGCCGGTCGCCGCCGCCGGCTGGCAGGAGGAGGGGCGTTGGTGGGGGCAGCAGGTCGCCGCGGCCTTTGCGGAGGTTGTCGCGTAGCCGGTCGCGGTCGTTCTCGTTGAGTCGGTGAGTGGCGATGATCTGACAAAACAGGGTGATTCAGAATTCGATGTAAATATTTTGAGGACATATTGTCGGAGTCAAAATGAGACTTTTTCCACTACTTGCCTGAGAAATAACCTTTATTCAAAGATTTCCTCTATTGGGAAGTAACACTTTCTGAAGCTAGGTGAATAATCATTAATTATTGTAGAAGAAAATTTACCTCTGTAAATAAAACTGACAATGAGAAAGAAAGAAATCCATCAAGAGAAAGACAAGTAAGAAAAACACTGGTTGGTCTCAGCAACAAGTCAAAAGAGTGTAAAAAAAAGGAACAATACCTATACGAAGACAATCCTCGACAGAAAAACATGTACAATATCTCATTATGAAATATGCAAATATACAGGGTGGGTCACGGTAGATGGCACCTTAGACGTTTACGGAGAACGGGACATAAGATCATTCTGAAAATTTGGTTACTCAAGTAATTGCTCTTGATCTATCGATCTAAAATATTTTCAGCTCTGCGGCGTTGCCGCTTCTATCGAAAAGTAGCAACAACTTTGTTATTTTAAATGGAACACCCTGTATTTTATTGCATCTTCAGATTCTCTCTGAAGAGCTGATTTCATCGATATATCACACTTGGGGTCTAGCGGAAATCATTACAGAGATATAGGGTGTGAAAAATCGACATTTTTCAACTTAAGGAATTTTTTTTGTCGAAACTATTCATTATTGGTCAAAACGGCTTACATGTCCCTATCTCAACTTTTGATTAACTATCTACTGATATTTAATTGGGACATATACCGGGAGATCAAGAATCTGAATTCTGCACCACCCTGTATTTGTTCCATTAAATGTCAGTAGATAGTTGATCAAAAGTTGGGATAGGGACATGTGAGCCGTTTTGACCAATAATGAATAGTTTCGACGAAAAAAATTCCTAAAGTTGAAAAATGTCGATTTTTCACACCCTATATCTCTGTAATCATTTCCGCTAGACCCCAAGTGTGATACATCGATGAAATCAGCTCTTCAGAAAAAATCTGAAAATGCGATAAAATACAGGGTGTTCCATTTAAAATAACAAAGTTGTTGCTACTTTTCGATAGAAGCGGCAACGCCGCAGAGCTGAAAAAATTTTAGATCGATAGATCAAGAGCAATTACTTGAGTAACCAAATTTTCAGAATGATCTTATGTCTCGTTCTCCATAAACGTCTAAGGTGCCATCGACCGTGACCCACCCTGTATACAGACATGTATGGAAAATACATAGTAATGATAATTCATTTTACTTGATTCTTTGGGATTTTCTCTCCTCGTTTCTATAAAATGA